TGTGTGTGTGTGTGTGTGTGTGTGTGTGTGTGTGTGTGTGTGAGAGAGAGAGAGAGAGAGAGAGAGAGAGAGAGAGAGAGAGAGAGAGAGACAAGTAGTCACCTGGCAGGTAGGGGGGTCTCAGAAACTTAGGCGATGTGCTTATCTCGGCAAATGCTGTGTTCCTTTCTATGGAGAGTGGAGGTGTTCATCTCAGTACGTAATGTGTTCATCTCAGTAATTTGGGAGTCTTCAATGGCCGGAGGTCATTTGACTTGAGGAGGCTACTGGAGGTTGTGAATCTTTGCCTCGTCAATGCTTGGCGAACCCGCTGTGCAGATCCTGACCTGGAGAGTAGCAGGCAGAAGACTGTCGATTCTCGTCAGAAGCCGACAACACCTGTCCGAGAATCCAAAGCTGAGAATGAGAACTGTGAAAGGCCTGCAGAGCGGGGAGGTGCGTGCTTGGAGGCGGGTGAGGCCCCATCGTCCTCGTCATCATCAAGGGAAACACCTGCAGGCAAACTCTCAGTGTGTAGCGACGGTGATGTCTTGCTTGTGCCGCTGCAACAGTCTCTGGAAGGAAGAACGCAACTGGAATCGTTTTACGGTTCAGGAGCATGCATTGCTGGGAGGGAATTGGGATTGGGATCTGGATCACACGATACCGATCAATTGGGATCTGCATCACAGGATGCTGATCGATTGGGATCTGGATCACAGGATGCTTATCGACTGGGTTCAGAGAATGATACCCATGACTTAGAGGGAGAAAGGGCGGTGGGGAGCGGAAATGCTGGCAATTCGAACTCGGTGGTAGTTTCGCCGTTGGAAAGCGAGGATCGAATTCAACCACTTGTGTTTTACAGCTCCAAAAATAAGAACAAAACTCTGGAAATGATGCGATTGTTTTGGCGCATCCAGTCAGACCTGCAAGGTCAACCCGACAAAGAGGCTGACGTCAACAGGTGCAATTTTTTTATATTTTTTATATTTTTTATATTTTTTTTTGGATTCCCCAATGCCCCTTCTTTCCCCCACATAGAAGGCCTTCAACAGTTTCCTCTTCTATATATCTATTCTATCCAACCATGATTATATCATGTATACATCTATGATCTATACATATTTATAAAACATTTACATCTCTCTCTCTCTCTCTATGGATATATCTTTATATCTTTATGTCTACGAGTCGGAGAAAACTCTGACAAATGTCTGTCACAGCCCCTCCTCTGTTTTCCTCTTCTCCCTCTCTGCCAACCTTTTCACTAAGGGTAACCATTTCTCTATGATGATAGCACACTTACCCTTAATATTGGAAATTGACGCAACAGATGCATGCAGTGCCTAACCACAAAGTTCGGATCATGCTCCTCATGTTAAACATCTTTTTAACCAACTTCTTTTCACCTCCACAACCAATCCCCTTCCATTCCTCTCTTCTCCCCCTCACCCCCCCCCCCTCCTCCTCCCCCTTCTCCCCTGCTGTATGTCTAGCTAGCCTGATGGGTCGAAGGTAGAGGGGGCGGCGGGGGGGAGAGAGTGGGGAAAAGACGAGGTCATGTAGGGGCTTGGGTGGATGTAATATACAATATATAAATATAAACCAAAAAGAACTGGTCGGCTTCTTTGTCATGGTAAACTCAAATAGCAACTGTTAATTAGGACGGTTTTAGGACACTGATTGGGGAGGGGGGGGAGGCGGGGGGGGCATTCATGGGTGAGTATACAGGTGCATCACCGATGACAAACCTTCGCCACTCACCTGATTGATCAGTTTATACCTAACTTCTGCCATAACGTGTCACTTTGCAGCGGAAGCAAGTGGACGAGGAGATCAGCGATCATCAACAACCTCAGAGCCTTCTTGTTGTCTCCTCCTCCTTCTCCTCCTCCTCCTCCTCCTCCTCCTCCTCCTCCTCCTCCTCCTCCTTCTTCCTTTTGCTGCTGCTGCTTCTACTGTTGCATCATACTCCATGATAATTTAGAATGGTAATCAAATTATCAAACACTAATTAGTAATTAATAATTATCGCTGCTGCAATGGCTTCATTGTTGCTACCATTTGATGTTCTATCATGCTCATCACTTTCATCATTGCCATCACCAGCATGAGATTTATCATCATTGTCGTCACCATAACCGTCGTCATATTGTGATCGTTATTCTCATCAAATTTATCATCATCATGATAATCACTGTTGTCATTCTCCTTTGCATCGGTATCATCTCTGGAAGAGAAGAGGGAGGAGAGAGAGGGAGGAGGAGAGAAAGGAGGACAGGGAGGAGGAGGGAAAGGAGGAGAGAAAGGAAGAGGAGAGGGAGGATGAGAGGGAGGAGGAGAGAAAGGAGGAGAGGGAGGAGGAGAGGGAGGAGGAGAGGGAGGAGGAGGAGGCAAGATGGTGAAGGGTATTTTTTTTCAGATGTTACTAACCCCTTTAGTGCCCTCACACAATTGCTTTCGAGGCTTGCAGGGGTGCCAAGATGTGGCAGATATTTCCGAGACAAGATATGGCTTTCCAGTTTTGCGATGCACATCAACAGGAGGCAGGGGGAGGCAAACTCTCGGTATTCGTCTTCGAAGAACATTTCATGGGCCAACGGAGGTTTCTTGTGACCACCTACGAAGAGTTTTGGCGACGGTAACCATAGCCATTCCAACTTCATGCTCTTGAGTTTCACAGATCAAATCCGAATTGAGGCAATGTCAATGTTTCAGGATTCGCTCCGCCTTAAAGCCTTACTTCCTGAGAGTTAAGAGTGCAAATACCGTTGTCTTTTTTTTTTTTTTTTGGGTTTTTCTCCGGAGGGTTTCCTCTTTGTCAATGCTTTGTGTCTGTCACGTGGGTGGGTTACTGCTTTTTTTTTTGGGGGGGGGGGGGAAGGAGGGGAGGATGCTGCTGGGTGGAGTTCCAAAAGAAAGAGAGTGAAATCACAAAGCAACATGAAATTTGAATCCGGAGGCGTAAACCCCAAACCCTACCGGAAAATCCAAACTGTAGACCCATAACTTTATACCGCCAACCCTAAACCCTAAAACCAAAACTCTAAACGCCAAACCTTACACCCTAAATCCTAAACCCCGCAGACCATAAAACCCTGAACTCCCCCAAAACCCTAAACCATTACGAAAAGCTACCGTCTTCTTCCCCTGAATAGAACCTATGGTTATTATAGCTGTGTTTGGGACAAATTTCAGTCTAGATGCAGCAATACTGACCGTATGTTGTATTGGGGGGAAGACGGTAGTGAGAAAACAACATTAACTATTCCCCCTGGCTGACCGTTTGTGGATTAAAAAAAAAAAAAACCGAACGAAGCCCGTTTTTCAAATAAACCTTGATCTCTTACCGTAAACCCTAAACCTAAATCTCAAACCCTACCATCTTCACCCGAATAGAACGCCCGGTCATTCTAGCCGTATCTGGACTGAAAATTGCACCAAATACGGCTATAATGACCGGGCGTTCTATTCGGGTGAAGACGGTAGACTCTAAACCCTGAATGCTGATCCGTAAAGGCTTAACCATTGGAAAAGCCAGTCACGAAACAAGTTGAACGCAGTCTTTACCTCTAGGAGGAAATACTTAATTAGTAGCGATGGTTTCAAAGGTCGGGGGGCCAAAAAGGGTAATTCATCGCCTGAGGATATTCGTCACCGCACAGAATGGCAGGCAGAATTAGGAGCTCAAACCCTTATTCAAATATACCTTTCTCGGGCTTTTGGCTAAGATCAAGTGTAAACCCTTATTTGCGTTTTATTTACAGTATGTGGGTCTATATATCTCAGGGTTCCCTTAACTTCCCTCACCTGTTGTTTTGAACCTCGTGCTGTGGTAGAGAGACAAATGTATATATTGTGAAAACACTGAAAAGCAGCCCAGCCCATGAAAGCTGAGCAACTGAATCACAATATATGTATCCGTTTTGACCCATTGTGGCCCATTCTGGCCCATTCTGACCCATTCTGACCAATTCTGACCCATTTTGACCAATTCTGACCCATTTTGACCCATTCTGACCAATTTTGACCAATTTTGACCCATTCTGAACCAGTCTGCCCCATTCTGCCCTGACCGATTCTGGCCTGTTCTGGCCCATTCTGCCCAGACCCATTCTAACCCATTCTGACCCATGCTAACCCATTCTGACCTGACCATTCTGACCCACTCTTACCCATTCTGACCCATTCTAACCCATTCTGACCTGACCACTGATCCATTCTGACCTGACCACTGACCCATTCTGACCCATTCTGACCCATTCTGACCCATTTTCTGACCCATTTTCTGACCCATTCTGACCCATTCTGACCCATTTTGACCCATTCTGACCCATTTTGACCCATTTTGACCCATTCTGACCCATTTTGACCCATTCTGATTCGTTCTGATACGTTCTGGCAGATTCAGACAGATTCTGACACCTTCTGACATGGCTATGTGGAATGTGCAGGTACAACCACATGGCTCCGGATCATCGACACCATTATGAGATCATTCGTGAGGTGAGATATACTTAGAAAAGGTAGACATAAAAACGAATGAAGGCCGCATGAGGGCCACATCACATTGTTTTCATCTGGGCCTGTGAATATGACAGAAATTCTATGACCATAAAAGCTCATCTGTGGTCCTTACCAAGGGGATCGGGTTGGACATCACATTAGTTCCCATCACAGATGACCCCCTAAACGATACTTGCAACTGCACGAGCCGCACAGCCGTACGGTGTGGTGCACCGCACGGCCCGCGGAACCTGCCCGTGCGCCGCACCAGAATTCCAGAAATAATCTCTGCTTTCTTTTTTTTTTTTGCTGTTTTCCTAGATACAGAAGAGTGTACTACCTCAGGAACAGATCCTGTTCGAGTACAGTCGTACAAACCTTTCTTTTTGTCTCATTGGGCATCATAAATAGCGTCAAATAGGTCTTTGGGGCATCCGTCTTGACTGTTAAGTGGTGAAATTGCTCGTCCAACCTTCCCCTCCCCCCCCCCCCCYCCACCATCCTACAACAAATTTTTGAAGGGGGCGCACGTGAACACTGATCCAGGCCTGCCACCCCTTCTTTTCCTGGGTGGCTATTTCTCCTGTGCGCCGCACAGGAAACGTGCGGAATTACCCACACGGCGTGCGCTTGCATGTATGCCCTAAATGCAGTACATAATTTATATTATTATTCATTTAGTATCATAAATTTCAGTCTAGGTGCAGCAATACTGGCCGTACGTTGTATTCGGGGTAAGACGGTAGCCGGAAAACAACTTAACAATTCCCTCTGGTTGACTGTTTCAGGATAAAAAAACAAGAAGAAAGCCCATTTTTGAAATCAATCCTGGTCTCTTACCCTAAACCCTAAACCTAAACCTCAAACCCCCTAGACTCTGAACACTGAATGCTGAACCGTAGTGAAAACTGCAGCAATGGAAACAGCGACGCATGCTACATTGGTCCCTGTGCAATGACTTGCTGATTTCTGCTGCCGAGATTGACAGCGAGGCTGTACACTAACCCGGTAGGTTAGATTCGTAATTTTGTTTGGCTGAGGGCTAACCGAGAGACCTGCCTGTAAGGAAATTCGTGAGGGACAGATCTGCAAATCCGGGAAAATACAGGCCCGGTACTACCGAATTCCTACAGCTACCCTAACTGCCTATAGCAGGCCCGGGCTACCCCTAGGACAGACAGGCCCTAAGCGGCCTATACTGTTAGAGGGTCCTATAGCCTATAGCCGGGTCCGGTAGAGGCCGAGAGGCCGAAAAACAGCAACGGTACCGGTTGGTCAGTCCGGTCTAGGTCTAGAGAGTCTATAGATAGGTTAGGCTCATCGGTTCAGGACTTTTGGCAGTTCATTTCTCGCGACCAGCGTTGGAGAAGCCAAGCGAGTTGGAAGCGGTACCTGTCTACCGGCGACATCCTGAGACAGACCGCAACAGCAGCCATAGCCGGCCCTCTCTGAGTCTGCCATAGCTGGGGCATCCTCAGCGCATCTACCCCTGGGGGTATCTGCGTATGGCCGGGCGGTATCGAGGCTCTACAGTGGTTGTTCGTGGGTGGTGGCAGCCATAGCTGCCTGTTCCTTCGTCAGAGTTGTCCAGCGGCACTGAAGACTTCATCGCAGGACCTGTTCTTCATCAGGGTGGTTAGCGCTGGCCTCTGGGAGGCTGTTCCGATGCAGCGCTACTAACTGGGTGTAGGATAGAGAGTGGGGTGTGAGTTCTGAGTGTGGCGAGATACTGGAACAAACTCTGTTACGATAATTGTATGAGTCGCTCATCATCAGTGTCATTTTCAATTGTGATCTTCACAGGCTCTTTCTTGTGATTGGTTGTTGGGAGTTGTGTCAGAGAGTGAGAAACACTGCGTGTCTTCTCCCCATCTGTGCATGTTTGTCTTCCGCTGTTTATCTTCACCTGTGTGCAGTTTGGACTCTGTCTCCTCTCTCCCCTTCTCTTATGCATGTATGGGCATGTATGAGATTGTCTGTGTGTGAGTGGCGATAAAATTCGTCAGACAACCAAGTTCATAACACCTGCATCATCCACACTCTTCTTTTTTGCCCCCACGATGCTCTCGTCCTGCCCCTGCTTGCTCATCTGCTGCTACTGCAGTGTCCACCGCTGCAGTTTTCATGGCTGCAGTTTTCACTGCTACAGTTTTCACTGCTACAATTTCCACTGCTACAGTTTCTACTGCTCCAGTTTTCATTCCGGCAGTTTCTACTACTGCAGTTTCCACTGCTGCAGTTCCTACTACAGTTTCCTCTGCTGCAGTTTTCAGTACAGCAGTTTCCATAGTTGGAATTCCCTGTATTGTGCTTTTTGCTGCCACAGCTTTCCGTGCCGCATCTCCGGTGCAAAGAACATCAGTGTCTTTCCGACACTCACGTCCTTTGTTTCGAAATCTTTCCCAATCCGCCCCCCTTTGATCTTTTTCTGTGCTTGGCCGCAGATGGCTGCGTTCCTCCTCGCCACTCCCATCTCCTCCACAGTCTCGCTTGCCACCAACGGACTCTCTGGTTCCCATTGTTCCCATTGTTCCCATTGTTCCCATTGTTCCACCTTCTTCGGTCGGCTTGCAACACCACTACTCCTCTTCGGTCGGCTTGCAACATGTGGCACATTGTCACTTGTCCGGGGATCAGCAGCCTGTTTGCTTTGTCTGCCCCAATTCTCTCTGTGCCTGCTCCACAGGTTGTTGCGTTTCCTTTGTTCCAAACGACAGTATCCACTCATATGCCTCTTGCAGACAGTCCAGCTGCCTGCAGGCCGCCACAGCACCATGTTTTACGCCCTCCAGCGTTAAATACTTCACGACTCACCTGTACAACAGGATGTGGTCCCTGCCCAGGGTACACTCCTGAGTCCAGGGGCAGTCCCTACACAGGATGCAGCCCCAAATGTCGAGGGATTGGAACATGATTTGCTCGGATTGCAGGCAACCCCACAAGGCCTAGACCACATGGGGGATCTGCAAATGGCTGACCAGCATCGTTTGGATAAACCAGAAATCTGCGCCCCACCACACGCAGTGGACCATGCCATGACTGATGTTACTGATTTTTCTTACATAATGATGCTGTTTTCTTGCCTCACCAAACCGTCCGCGATCTCTTTTATGTCGGAGTTCATTCCTCTGGCCCTGTGCTGCAGCAGGACAATGTACCGACACTCTGCGACCTCTCCTTTGCACAACTACAAACACTGTTACACTCGGCTGTAGCCGCCTTCGTCTTTGTCACAATCACTTCAATGACCTGGTTTCTGCATCCATGTGTGTAGAGGACTGTCCCTCCGTTCCTGACCGCAGGCACCCTCCGCATCCGGATGCTATATGTCAATTTTGCGGCCATGGGCGCTATACTGAATGCATGGTCTTTTGTGCTGAGCATTCTTCCTTCATTTTCGCCTGCAATCGGCATGCCATTTGCCGGGGTGTATGGTGGGCATGCTTAATGCCAGTCGTCGTGGCAATTGTTGTACTGGGAATGCTCAGCTAAGGAGGTCTTCCATGTGTTCATCCACCTCATCCTTACAATGTGTGTCCTCTCTGTAGTCAAGGACAGACTGATTCTTGAGCCTTTTCTTATCCTCGCCTTTGCTTTCATCTTCATTTCACACTCCTTACTTTCCCTTACTTTCCCATGGCCGTTCTTTGTTTTGTCTTCTCTCCATCTCGCTTCTCTGTGTTTATCCCCTTCTGTTATCCTTGGACCTCATGCCTGGTAGTGGACGTTTATTTTTCTCTGCTATGTCCTCGGTACCAGCACATTTTACATTTCTGTCCCTTGGACATTTTTACTGGTACCCCTCTGGTACCGACGGATTTTGCACATACCCCTGAGCCCAGCCTAGCCGTTAGGCTGTCCCCAGGTAAACGTACCAGTCTCACACACGGGTGAGACTCCTGGTGCTGTACTCAGTTTTCAGACATTGAGTGTGAGTTCGACATTGAGTTGCTGCTGGTACTCTTCCCTGAGCATCCTCATCATACCAGCGGAGTTCTTCGTCGGAGTCTGGTCGTGTGTGCGAGTGTTTACCCTTTCTCGCCCGTCCTCCGCCTCCTTCTCGAGCCCAGTGCTCGTCACACCTTCCCCGTTACTTTCTCACAGCGTACAAATGGGCCGTTATGGCACACGGGGATGCAGGCAGTTCACACTCAACTTCATCAGCATGGCGAGCCTTGTACGTGAGAGGCACGGTGAAGGGGGAGTTAAAAGAAGAAGACTAAGAAAAATGAATGGTTTCAGCTTGCTCTTCATGTTTGTCTTTTTTTTTTTTTTTTTTTTGTAAATCGTTTGTTTCGCAAAGAGCACTCTTTTAGTTCATACTACTTCATAGATATGTGACAATATATATGCTCAGCGTTGAGGCCCCCTGCATCCTGTTGTTAATGTATGCTTTTTTTCTTTTGCGAGGATCTGGCTCCTCGGCAGGCCTAAGGGCCCCATTTTGGCATGTGCCCGCCCTAAGTAAAGGCGGGCCTGAGAAAATCACCAGGGGCCCCTTGTTGTCAATTTCACATTTTGGGGTTCAGGCAGTTTCGCCGCGTCAGTTGGTTGAAGGAACCCAGGCCATGGCCAGCCACACTTTGCTTCGGACTTCTAGGCCTTTCTCTCGAAGTAGGCCCTGGGCCGCATCTGCAGCAGTATACACGACAAGCACTTGGGTTGCATAACCGAACGGGGCCCAGGGCAACAACAGCAATAGAGGCCCAGCCACCCGGGGCCTACCAGAAGCTTCTGGGTGCAGGCCCAGCGCAGCCAAGCAGCAACACAGGCCAGACTCTTTCCATATAGGAAAGAGCTCGCTGCTTGACCAGGCATTCGGGCACTTGCTAGTTTGCGGCAGCGCTGCTGGAGCGGACACTCGCGGGCTGCGTCTAGCGCAGAGCAAGCTGCCAGGCACGTGTGGTCGTGTAGAAGGAAGGGCGCTGCTGCGGGCAGCGCCATGGCCCAGTTCCCATAGCTGGCTGGGCTTGGATGTACAGCAAGCGGTAGTGGTGGTCGTCGTGTGTGTGTGTGAGAGAAAGAGACAAGACGTGGGTGGAAGACAAGGGGAGAGAGAGAGAGAGAGAGAGAGAGAGAGAGAGAGAGAGAGAGAGAGAGAGAGAGAGAGAGAGAGAGAGAGAGAGAGAGAGAGAGAGNGAGAGAGAGAGAGAGAGAGAGAGAGAGAGAGAGAGAGAGAGAGAGAGAGAGAGAGAGAGAGAGAAGAGGATGATGGCGTGAGGGCACATACCTGGCATTGGCGGTAGTCTGCTTCGGCGTCATCTTCATGTACTTCGGTGGCTGCTGACGTCAACAGTTGCATTGTCAATTCGTAGGCAGATAATAGCTGTGTGGGAGTAGTCTGGGCGCCGAGCGCCAAGTAGGGGGAAAGGCCTGGACACTTATGTTGGTGAGGACGAGAGTAAGCTCTCATTGACATTCGGATTCAGTGCTTCGATTCTCCATTGGTGTAATATTGGTGCAATGCTGCTTTCTGGACACTGTGGGACTTTCTGGCTTTCAATGTGATTGTGCAATCTGGATTCTGTCATCTCGCTATTGCTCATTTTCCTTGCACTTTTCTTCCTGGACTCGAAAAAAAAAAATTCCCCCAGCTTCCCACTTGTGTCTCTCACTGCTTTGCCTACTATGTCTATTTTTTTGAATTGCAAGCTTTTCTCAGCGGGTGTGGATCGTGTTAATTCTTTTTTATTTATTTTTGGTCTCTGCTTGCCTTTTTTTTTTTTCTTTTTTTTTTTTTTTTGTGCAGGGATGTGCTTGCGTGCGTTATTTTGACCTGGAATTTAACCGGGCCGCTAATCCAGATGCAGACGGAGAGAGCATGGTGGATGACTTCCTGAGCCTTTTGGGAGATGCACTCCTCCAAAAATTTTCAGTGAAGTTTCAGAAGGAATGGACTCTGGAACTTGATTCCACGACCAAAGGTGTGTCGTCCGCAACCCCCAAAACGCCGCAAATCGCTTCGAAGTTTGAACCCCCCATTTGGTGAGTGTGCATAAAATAACAAGTGTGCATAGCACTACCGTCTTCCCCCTAACAACATAACGCACCCACATCTCGACTGTTCTGGACCGGAAAGCTAGAAGAAGAAGAAGAAGAAGAAGAAGAAGAAGAAGAAGAAGAAAGAAGAAAGAAGAAGTAGTAGTAGAAGAAGAATTTGAATAAAGCGAGGCCAACCAGCACATGTCCCCGAAGCAAGCAGATCAAAGAGTCATAACAGCACGGGCATAGCTGAACTCAAGCATGCACATTCTCCAATTCGTTTCGGCTAATTGCGCACCAGCACTTATTGGGGGGCTACATCTTTCCCCCATCCCCCCAAACTTCCCACCCAGAGCAAAGAGGGGGTCGTGGCGTTGTGGCCTTGCCCTCTGGACATCTTCAGAGCTGACTGACACAGTCTCACTTGACGTATGCCCCCGCCGGCACACTTGATTGCAACTGACTAAGCGCACGCGGGGTTGGCTCGCCTGTAACTGAGCAAGCAAGATTGCACATCCCTCTAACCATCCTCAGCCTGATCAGACCGCAAACCAACTACAACCTCACCCTATTAAACCCAGCCAATCTGACAACACCCAATGAACTCCGATCAAACCCTAAACCAAATCCTAGCGAGTCCAACCAATTCCAATTTCCAACCAATGCCTTCTCACCGAATCCCGTATTATATCCAAGCAGATTGCAGTCAGAAGGCATTGGTTGGAAATTGGAACTCCAATCAAATGAAGACTGTTAAGTGGAAGCAATGAATGTCATCCAGTGTCCTCGCAGCAATGAATTGATTAGGTGTGGGGTGCACATTTGCCCAAGGACGCCTTTGTGGTCATAACAGCTTTCAGCCATTTGTTAAGTTTGTTAATTAATAATTCCGTTTTTTAAACTTTTTTTTTTTTTTTAAATTTTCCTTTGTGGCTTGTCAAATTCTGTTGTGACAGATAAGTTCTCCAGGCATCTCGTTATCCGAATACCGGACAGGGCATTCAAGAGCAACATCCATGTAGGGGCCTTTGTTGCAGAGGTAAATTCAGCTGATGAAATCATTGAAATGTATCCTGCTGAGGGGAGGTGATTTTTATTTATTTATTATTTTAATAGAAAAAGGGCAACCGCCTTGAGATATGATTATCGAGCTGACTGGCCGCCCTAGGTCGTTCAGATTTGTGTATTTGAGTCATCTTCTCTCTGTGAAGTTTGAACTCAGGTCTGTATTTCAAACAACTCAGGGGTGTATGAACTGATCTAGGCTAGGCCAGTTGGCAGGGGAAGGTGTTTATGTTGCAACAATTGAACATTTTTTTTTACCCTCCCTCCCTCCTCCTCTCCCTCTCTGATAAGGCTATATCATAAAACGCTCTAGATTTACAATACACCCTCCACCTTTCCCTCTCCTTCCCTCCCCCTTGAGGGTTATGGAGAAGAGTTCCATGGCTATGGCCAAGATGAGCAAGGGTGCCTAGCTATGGAGGGAGGAGGAGTGGAGGGCAGAGCCGTGCTATGGAGATAGGAGGAGGAAGAAGGAGAGGACCGAGAGGAAGACTTTGATTTGGCTATGGTGGACCTTCATTTTCAGTGACCTGACTGGCGCTGCAGTGGGCAAGAGCCCTGGATGATAATTATATATTTTTAATTATTTTATTAATAATTTTAAAAGAATTTGATTCTAGTATGCGTTAAAAAAAAAAAAGAGAGAAAAAGAAAGAGAAAAGAGGGAATAACGAAGTCTTTCTCCCCCTTGATGATGCAACTTGCAAATCGCTTTTTTCTTTTTTTCTGGCCAGGTTGTTGATGGTATCCGATGCAAGAAGGAAGTTGATGAGCGATGTGCACACATGTTCGTCCGTAAGGAGTCATCTGCAGACATGACGGGGTCCCAACGATCGGAAGACGGGAGGATGGTAGCATCCGCTATAGTGTTCATCGATTTGGCCGTTTACTCTCGTAATCGGTGTTTCCGTCTCTTGTTGTCATCAAAAGCTGGGAAAAAGTCTGTGCTTCTGCCAACCGATCGCTTCCGATGCGAAGGCGGCATGGTATGCTCCTCTGTCTCCTTCCCACCCCAAGAATATATATATATATATATAAACAGTTTGTCACAGCCCCTCGTTTGTTGTCCTCCTCTCTCTCTCTGCCTACGGTTTTACCGGGCAGTTCTGTTTGTGACGATATATATATGACGATATATATATATATATTTTCTCCCTCTCTGCCTACGGTTTACCGGGCAGTTCT